CATAGTTCTATAAACAATCAAGAGAGGGTTTCATAACATAATGCCTCTGGTATATAAATGGCTGTTTGCCACTTACTCCATTTGGCTTTCTGCTGAGAGCATGGGCTTCATGCGAGCTAGTCTAATTGCTACAATTAGCAAAATTAAATGGCTTATTGTGTATTTAGACAATTCTTCCCACATTCTGCATTGTTATACTACAGAATTAGTAATTACAGTGTTGGGCTTGTAAATTCACGGACACGTGTTGCGATTATTTTCATCACGCGCCCCTTGTAGGGACTCAACCTAAATAAGCTTGTTTAGATGGATGCACAAATGCAATTTACTCTGCTTCCCACCGTGCACAGGAGCAAGAGAGGCAGCAGTAGGACTCCAGCTATCTGCTGAAGTCTTTTCCTTGGCATTGTGCAGGCAGTGCAGGGGGTGCAGGGTAAATCACAGCATCTCAGTCGCTCCTGATTGCGTGACTTCAGGGGCGGAGAGGAGAAAGGGCAGTGACTTTGGGAGCTGAATCACTGGCAGAGCCAACTCAAACTCAGTACAGCACCACTTTTAAAGCTCTTAAGGAGTTGTATGACCAAATCACAAACACTTCAAAACTGTTTAATTTGGGTTCTGAAAAGCCAACAGGCTAGTTGTGATTATTTGCTGGCCAATAAAAAGTAAATGAATATATTGTGTGATTGGGAGTCTCTTTCCAAATAAAGCAGCACTTGTACTTTTAGTACCACTCATGAATTGGTCTTTTGGGGAGATAATGATATATTGGCTAGACTATCATATATTTTAAACAAATTCGGGTTTAAAAGCTGTTCACCATGAATTAAAAATTGCAGCTCCAATAAAATTTTAATTTACCCCCTCTGCTTAAAAGTATACAAAATCAGGCAGCTGAGGTCTAGCATTTAATTTTGGAAGGAAAAATTTCTCCAATGTTATAGAAAATAATTAATAGAAATTTTGTTGATTTGCCAATGAAAATAGTGTTTATATACCCTCAAGCCCATATAACTCAAGCAAAGAAACATTGTTCTAGCACATGAAGCATATTTAAACTGATGTAAACAAAAGTGGGACTGAGTTTTTTCTCATTAAATCTGCAGGAAAAAAGTATTGCACATATTTTCAAAGAATAATTTTTTCTAAATAAGATTATCCTATTATAGAACAAGTAACTTTTGTTTTAAAATAAGGCAAAAGGTTTACCTTACATTTTCTTATATGTTTTCTGAATGAACATGGGTACACATTACCTCTCCTTTAATTAGAGTAGTAAATACTACTTAAATTGTCTTTTCTGTAACATACAAATCCATAACTCTCAAAACTTTAGGACCAAGTCTTTAACCAGATAAATTACTATTACATCAGCCGGCAAATTGGTTTGGTTCATTAGAACAATGCTTACATAATTCTTACTTCTAACACAGAGATGTGATTGTTTTTCTTTACCAGAATACAATGATGAACTTTTTTTATTTTCCTGTATTCTGGAATGAAATTTAAAAGACCTGATTTTTTCATTATCTCAAAAGCAGAAATTATTTTTTTTACAATTCTTTTTTTTTTTGCTATTGCTGTCTTAACTGAACTTTATTGATTTTAAAACTGTCTGTGGTAAAAAGAATAGTGCATATTGATTATTAACTGTCTATAAGGCCATCATGGGATTTCAACGTGGACTGTATTTAATCTTGACAACTTTTGTAAAAAATTCTTACAGCTTTTAATGTGACTGTTCACAGCAATGCTAATTAAGAAATTGTCCATGTAGTCATCTGAGCATTAAGATTTCAATGGCCATCCTGTTCTCAGTGAAGTATCACTGACGTTACGAATGTAACACAGCAAGATTTTGGAGAGCAAATTTTGACTCGGCATGAAATGACTTCTCCCCTTTCCTCAAACAGCTGGATTGAATTCTGAAGACAAGCTGTGCCTACGTACTGCCACATATGGCATCTACTCAGACCCTGCAGTAGTTTGCTTAAGATAAATTTACAAACACTATTAAAAAAAATAAAAATGCTGGGAGAGTAACGAAAGCAAATGCTGGATACTAAAACCCACATGGATAAATAACATCTCTGTGTCCTTCCTTCCAAAACCAAACATGAGCAAATCAAACAAACTCACCCAAACCTTCTTCAGAAACCTTGAAATGCAAACACTGGTCCAGACCAAAATCCTTTAAATTCTGTACGAAGCAACGTTTCTTCAATTCTGTAAGCCCCTACCACAGGGCTCACAGCTCTGAGGAACAGCAAGAGAGGATGAGAGGGACATCAGAAGAGGACAAACCTCGCTGACAGCTGCAGTGCTGCCCCTCTCCCCAGGAGGTGCTGGAGGGAGGCGAGAGCTAGAGAGCACTGCCTGCTGTGCCTCACTCATGCTAAAATTTCGGAGTTGTAAAAGAAGCAGCAAACATACCAAACTGTTTCCAGAAGAAACCCTCACATCTTGGATTACAAAGCTTGCCATTTGCCTTGTTAAAGAAAACCAGCAATTTCCTTGTGTGAGCTAGAGTTTGATTCTGGAGTGAAGGCTCTACTGAATTTGACAGGAAAAAGGATTTGCTCCCAAAATCTTTTTTTTAGCAGTTCTTGCAGTGCTATGTTTTCTGACAAAATATGAGTGCTTTTCTCTGAAAAATCAGTTGTATCTCCATGGAGGGAAGGGCAATCACTCTGTACAAAGCTTCAGGTTCAGACTATCAAAGAATTCTTTTATTTAAAAAATTATTATAGAGGCAGCTGGCCACTTCTTAATTTGAAAATACCTAAGAAACCCTTGAAGCATGGGTGTTTTCTGATCTGTGTAAAGTTCCCTCTGCTTTGCAGATTCCTGCACTTTCACAGATGTTTTGTTTTGAGGAACTTGCCCCAGCAAAGAACAACAGGTATCGAACATTTCACTAATAAAAAAAGTCAACATTAAAAACGGCTAATTGAACGCATACAAATAAACATAGGCTATGTAACCTCGGCCATTTCGTAGTACAAATATTAATAATAGGAAAGACTGAAATTTACCCAGCAGCATATACAGCAGTGACTACACTGGATATACCTGACAGTGAAGGTTACAAAACCAACCACTGGGTCGTCTCCATCCTGACAATGCCATTTACAACAGTAACTCTTCAGTTCTGCTTCGCTCTCCTAAAATGGATGGAAATAGTTATAGCAAATTGTTTCTTATGAAATCGCTTGGTGTCTTTACAAGCCACTTACATTTGAAGCAGGATCCACGGTTTATAGAGTATTCTAAAAGTACCCATGTAGGCTTTCATATGGCATTACACTGCAAAGCAAATCCATAATGTGTGAAAACCAGGTTTATGTCAACCTGCAGAAGCCAGCTGATAAAATTCATGGACCGATTCTTAAAATCTAAGCTATAAAGAGAATGAAATGTATTAAAAGATTTGAGGTTTATAAAAAGTAACCTTTTTATACCATATTTTTACTTTACAAAAATACTGAAATAATTCATGAGTTTTTCACTCTGCACCAGCTTTAAAAAAAATACTATCAAATTTTGACTTGCACCTTTAATGCATCTGAAAGCACCATCAGGGGATACTTTTAACATAAAGGAGGATTCCATTGACTAGATTTAGGGAGGTATTTAAAACCCAAAAGCTTGCAGCAAAAGCACTCTATTACAAGAGATTCAACGTAACTTTTAGATATATCTGGACACAAGTCTTGAACAGGCAGAAGAGGGTCTTCCACATAACTTACTTATATTATACTTCGGTGAATATACTTACTAAGAGGTGGCTGAAAGCCTTTAAAAGACATCACTTTCACCTTGGGCGGTAAAAATCAGAGCTGTCTCTACATGTTGAGAACTTGATTGGTCTTTCCTGCTTCTTGTTCTGGTAGGGCTCGTGCCACTCGTGATCTGTCCCTCGGGCAATATCAACCTCGCAGTTATACAATGTTTGGCACTAGAAGGGTATGGCATGTCACAGTCTCTTGTCACCCCTGCATACATTCACACACTGAGTCATGCATTCTCAGTCCTGAAACAGAGATGTTTCAGTGTGTTCACCTCCTCGTAGTTTCTTCCGGAATATCTGAATGGGGTCCTCCAAAAAGTTTAGAATAAGAAAACTATACTTCCCTGTACTTTTACATATATATATTTTTTTGCAAATTGAACACTGAATCATGATTATCATTTAATTTACATCACTACGTGCTAGAGCTCCTTATTTCTCCTGAAAACCAGAAGTGAGCTGCATAGGATTTCTGTTGAAAGTAGTGTAAAGAACTTAAATTGCATTTAAAAAGACTTTGAAGTTCCACAGAAAACAAACAGTTATGGTAGTGTTAATGTTTATGACCTAATTAGTCAGAATTTAGTTTATTTTCCACTGGCAGCCTTACAAACATGACAATGTATCTTTTTAACAGAGAAATATTTTGCAAACCTATTCTAACCTGAATGGTTGATTTATGGGAGTGTTGAAGACTGCTATGCTCCTATTTTTTCCCCAGAAAACAGTTTTCATAACAGCAACACTGTGTGCTACAGTTTTGTTATTTTTGCAAAGGGGTTTTTGTTTGTTTTTGCCGTTGATTATGCAAATGTCAATCATTCATTTCTAAAATAAAATGCGCTATTGGCTAAAGTCGAAAGCTCTGGTCAGAGCCTTCCTATTGGTTTGATTGTTAGTACTGTGCCGTCAGAGTTTCATAGCAGCAAGGAGTTGTGGGTGAGTGTCCCCAGCTGATGTAACTGATCTGTATGTCTGGGTCAGGGTTTGGGGTTTTTCTGAGGCTTTCAGGTGATGCTGCTGTATCAGTGTCCTGCAGACAGACTGCACACAGTGGATCAAATGATAATCATGATGGTAGCCAGACTAAGAACACTACAGCTTGCTGCTCTACTTGCAGTATGCAGTTTAGTTATTCCCACAGCCCTACTGTCAACCCTTAATTTGGACTGTAACATCGGAGCTTCTTCGAGCTGTGTTTTCGTTTTGTTTATAATGTGGTTTCATATTCCAAGCGCTCCTGGATAAGGGCATCATCTTTATACTGTAGCCGTGGAGGAGCAGGGGAACATTCAAATGCTAAGATCGCCTTCCTCAGGCTCCTGTCCAACACGTGTCTCTCCCACGCTGGGTACCTGTTCCTGAACAGATCGATTTTAATGACAGATTCCTCAATCCTTGGTGGCCGGGATGAAGGTGTGGATGGTGCGGTGGGTCTCACCTGAAACACAGGCACGCACCCATCCCTCTCCGCAAATTTTTGATCCCGCTCGCTCGTGACACTCCGGTTGTTGGAGATGGACCGTAGAGTGTTTGTGGCCACTTCTGGGGGTAGGGTGAAGGCGGCGGCAGGGTCCTCACAAGCACAGCTTGGCGACTGCCCAAACCTTGGTCCATTGGGGTGAAAGAAGGCATAGTACATTAGCATAAAAACAATGCCTGTTAAAAAGCTGCTGAACACTACACACAGTGCTGGTATGGCAAATGCATCAGAGATTGGTGGGGCCTTGTACAGATACCAGAGAGCACTCAAGGCGGTGTTTTCTAAAAGGATCACAAAATAGTAAATGAAAAGCCTACAGCGTGTCCTTCCTTCCTTGACATTGAACCAGCTGAAGATATAGATTATCCCAACCACCATGTCGAAAACTATCTCCTCCCATTTAGTGATGCAAAACTCTGTCTCGCAGTGGACAATCCAGAAGGTCATGATGCACCAGTGCAGCACGATGAAAATCCCAAAGTACAGCTGGAAAACCGAGGCAAAGAGAGCAAAAGTAATGACCCTTGCTGCAATTGTGAAGAAATGCCAGCAAAACTGGATTATAACAGCCATATAACTGATGGGTTTCTTGTCATCACGGGAGTCACGGAGGGCCTTTTGGTAGGAAGCCAAAGCCCAAGCCAGGGATACGAGAGATGCTGCAGCAGTAAGACCTAGGAGGAAACAGGAGATGCAGACAAGGCATAATTAGTATATCAGCACTTGGTTGAAACCGGTGAGATCCTTGCTGCTTTAAATGCATTCTCTGCCACTGACATAATAAAATCTCTTCCTTCTCCTTTAGCTCAGCCAGCACTGAGAAATGGACCTCTACTGCTGAGATTGCATTGGCCTTACAATGTTGGATACACATGAACAAGAGTGGCTATCAAACTACACTCTGAAATGCTTCTCTACAAATTTCAGGTTTTAAATTAATGAACTAATTCACAATATTGAGCAAGTTGGGAATAGGTGTCTCTGTCACCTGTGTGATTTAACAGGATCTACTGCGGTTATTGTTTTAAAGAAAAAGTATGAATTTTCTGGCTTTGATAAGTCATTAAATAAGCCTAATATAAAGCAAGTCTTTCCAATTAAAATGCCAGCATCATATACATAAAAACTAAATCGATAACAATGTGAGCATAAATCTACATTTTAAAAATACATTAATGTAACTTGTTACATCAAAATATAAACTGCCTTACACTTGCTGAAGGAAAAAATGTTGCCCATTTTGATATTTCCACCACTTCTAAACAGAATTGTAATAAGTAGAAAATGTCAAAACTTTATTTTCTTCCAGTTGGAAATTAAATCAAATTTAGAAAGGTTGGAATTTTCTACTGAATTAAAACTCTGAGTATAGATGCTCCTAAAGTAGGGAGTTATGAGTTAATGTTCCATTCTGTCTTCCACATATCACAGAATTGCTTATTTATAAGGCCCCGAACTATATTTCTGGAAAACCTGTCACATATTTTTCATAAAAAGAATTTAATATAAAATTATTTCTCATGAAATTTTCAAACATTATTTTTGTGGAAATAATTTCTGTTTACTTTAAAACTCAAAAAACATAAACCAGTTTTTTTGAAATGCCTTTCTATGCCTATTTTGAATGTGCATTATTCTTTTTTCCTCAAGTGAGTTTGATTGTTGTGGGCACATAAACTTTAAAAAAAAGTTGCTTTGCAACTGAATCTAATTTTTAAACTAATCTATTACTTCCACACACTACCAGAAAAATACCTTACATTCCCATTTAAGAAGTGATATAGCTCAGCATAATTATTCAAATGCATAACACTTACACAATTCTTCTTTACTAGAAGACTAATTTTTATTTACTTACGACTCATATCAAGCTGCTTTGGATGGAAATGGGAATTCAATTGAAATGCAAAACCCCAGCCTTTCAAGTGTATTTATTATTTAAATAAAATTGCAATAAATATGTTGTATACAGAGGAAAAATGTATCAAACATTTTATACTTAAAACTGGTTTATTACCAAAGCAAATTTTATATGCAGTTAATGAATGAATTCATAAGTCTCAGCATCCCAGGCTGAGAATTTATTCATAGACCATTTAAGGATAATGATGCTTCAGCTTACTCTATTTCTAAGCAGTTCCCTAACTTTGAACTAGTTATTGAAGTAAGTCAAACTGAAATGAAGAAAACATTTCTTTTGTCTGCTGTTAAAAGCTGTTTAATCATTTCAACAACCTTTGGTTCTGGATGCATAGACAGTATGTTTCTTCCGTGTTCAATAGCTTTCTTTAGAACTTAACCTTCAAGAACGTATTACTTAAATACTATCAATTTTATGCAAATACGGAGTGGTAAATTTAAGCCTAAATACATGTCGCTATTTACTTTTGAAAAAAAAAAAAAGTTTATTTTGAAACAGAAAAATGTAGGTTATGGAAATAATACCTGATTCTGAAGGAAAAAAAATCTATTTAAGCAATCCACTGGCTTAACACACTAAGATTTTGCTCAGTAAGTAGTACAGAAGGATTCATTGCTTTCAGGAGGGATTGTGTTTGCCAGTGTTCCTCCCTCAGTCACTGGCAGGGTGCTAATTATGTTGTGAGCTCCCATGAATCCATGAATTGAAAACCCCTTTGTTTTCAAAATAAAAATAATAACAAACAATCAGCAGAGACATAGAACAAACTTAGGATTCCAGGGGGAGTTTTTAATAAAACTTCATCATTTTTCTTCCCACACAGATGCCTGGATGCCAAAACACCAACGTTACTTCTGGAAACCTCCTTCACAGAGAGAACAATCAGCAATGAAGACAGAAAGGAGACGTGATATAAATTGTTATTTTCATTTCTGACATGTATATTTGCTTTTCACGCTGGGCTGTCTTTCAGTGACCATTATCTCCGGAGACAACACTAACAGCTGAAAATCTAAGTTCTTGTTTTCCTGTAGGAATGTTTTAAGTATTGAAAAACCACAGTTCATTTCCCTTATGAAATGAAAAGTTTGGAAAGGTAGATGAATAGGATAAAGTATAAGAGAATGTTTCAATACAAATGAGCCACTCTGAACAAGAGCTCAAAAATAGCATTATCAGCACAGGAAAGAATAATGTGAGAGAGAAATCCATATATTTTCTTTGCAAATCTAAATTTAATGACCTCACACAACTCCCCCAGAGGTTTGTAGAGATATCATCAGTTTTGCATTAGGAGGTGTAAAATCATTCAATAAAGTACACAGTATGTTCCAAGTAAAATGTCAAAATTCATAGGAATTTCCAATATTCTAATGCTAATTAATTCATAGTCATTGTCTGGGACAGAAAGGAGCAAGTACAATAGCAAAGTAATTCTGTTATTTAAATAGTCATTAATAGGGAAACATCCTTTGCTTCTACAGACCAAACTCAGGGATACTGGCATACAGGAGAGAAAAGGAGACAAGGGAACGTACAAAAGGAAAGAACTGCCAGTTAAAGTATTATGTATCCACTTTTGTGCTATTGGCAATGGTGTTAGGGATACAGAATTAAGATAAAGCTAAATGCTTCATGGGCACCATCCATTTTTACTTTATTGATGAGAGCAAGCACTAAAGAATTATTAAAAGTATAATTAATAATGAGAACAATAGTGTAAAAGTGATGCAAATGGCAGTTTGCTAATAAATGTCACTATATAAATAATTCACTGGGAATGGTTAGAGATAAAGTGAATTACTGTAGCACTGAATGGATAATTCATTAATTAGAACATACTGATGCATTTGCTGAGTATGCGTTTGTATAAACCTCTTTATCCCTGTTTCACAGAATCACAGAATGGTTAGAGTTAAAAGGGACCTTAAAGATCATCAAGTTCCAAGCCCCTGCCATGGAAAGGGACACCTTCCACTGGACCAGGTTGCTAAAAGCACCATCCAGTCTGGCCTTGAACACTTCCAGGGATGGGGCATCCACAGCTTCTCTGGGCAACCTTGTCTGCCTTACCATGCTCAAAGTAAAAAATTTCTTCCTAATATCTAACCTGTAACTACCCTCTTTCGGTTTAAAACTGTTACTCCTTGTCCTATCACTATACTTCCTGATAAACAGTCCCTCTCCGCCTTTCCTATAGGCCCCCTTTAGGTACTGGAAGGCCGCTATAAGGTCTACCCAGAGCCTTCTCTTCTCCAGGCTGAATAACCCCAACTCTCTCATCCTGTCTGCACAGGAGAGGTGCTCCAGCCCTCTGATCATCTTCGCAGCCCTGCTCTGGACTTGCTGCAACAGGTCTGTGTCCTTCTTATGTTTGGGGCCCCAGAGCTGGATGCAGTACTCCAGGTGGGGTCTCACCAGAGCAGAGCAGAGGGGCGGAATCACTTCCCTTGACCTGCTGGCCACGCTTCTTTGGATGCAACCAGGATATGGTTGGCCTTCTGGATTTCAAATGCACCTTGCTGGGTAATATTGAGCTTCTTACCAACCAACACCCCCAAGTCCTTCTCAGGGCTGCTCTCAATCCATTCTCTGCCCCTGTCTGTATTGTGCTTGGGATTGCCCTGACCTATGAGCAGGACCTTGCACTTGGTCTTGTTGAACTTCATGAGGTTTGCACAGGCCCACCTCTCAAGCCTGTCAAGATCCCTCTGGACGGCATCCCTTCCCTCCAGTGCGTTGACTGGACTACATAGTTTGCTGTTGTCCCACTGTCCATCTTGCTGGCAATGATGTTAAACAGTTCTGATCCCAATACTGACCCCTGAGGAATACCACTCATCACTGGTCTCTACTTGGACATCGAGACGCTGACTACAACTCTTTGAGTGCAACCATCCAGCCAATTCCTTATCCACTTATCCATGTCTCTCCAATTTAGAGACAAGGATGTTGTGCTCTTCCCTTATCCACCAAAGCTGTAACCCTGTTGTAGAAGGCCACCAAATTTGTCAGACACAAGTTGTCCTTAGTGAAGCCATGTTGGCTGCCATCGATCACCTGTTTATTTTCCATGTGCCTTAGCAGAATTTCCAGGAGGATCTGCTCCATGATCTACCCAGGCACAGAGGTGAGAACTGACTGGCCTGTAGTTCCCCAGGTCTTCCATTTTTCCTTTTTAAAAATGGGGGTTATGTTTCCTCTTTTCCAGTCAGTGGGACCTTCACTGGACTGCCATGACTTCTCAAATATGACAGACGATGGCTTAGCAACTTCATCTGCGAGTTCCCTCAGGACCCGTGGATGTACCTCATCAGTTCCCATGGATCTGTGCACCTTCAGGTTCCTTAGATGGTCTTGAAACTGATCTCCTACAGTGGGCAGTTCTTCATTCTCTCAGTCCCCACCTTTGCCTTCTGCGACTTGGGCAGTGCAATTAGAGCCCTTCCCAGTGAATACTGAGGCAAAAGTAATTTATTACTTCAGCCTTCAAAAGAAAAACTAAAATACATTTCTATTACTATCAAAACAAAACTGTAAAGGCACTAACATGGCACCAGGAAAAAAGGATGTCCTATAGACCTAACGGAAAACAAATAATTTGTGACAAAACAGGTGGTTTAACCTGCAGTTGGAAAGGCTTATTTGCCATTCAGAAATGAACAGAGAAGATTGGACTGTGATCTGTGGATCCACTGTTTATGAAGAACAAGAATCAGCTTTCCTGCTTGCTCGGCTATAGCCTCTGCACTC